TAGTCTAGTATTTAGTCTCTGTCTGGCATCGTTGCTTTCTCTGTCTCCGTTTCTCTCTTACGCTTGTTCATTCAATCACTCTCCCTCTTACTCGTTCGCATAATATACACGACACTTGCAGTAGTCTGATCACATCCTCTCTCTCCCACGCATGTATATTTTATTTAACTCATTCTTTTCTTTCTCGTTAGTATATCTAATTAATTTCATTTCTTCTTTTTGGTTTTATTATTTCTATTTACTAAATTTTTTCATTTAATTTACTAATTTGTACAACGTTTCTTTCACAAGTTGATTTACGAAATTTTTAATAGAATGTGTGAAAGATTTTTAAAATAGAAATTTGTGAAAGTTATTTTCAAGCAATATTATAAATTTTTATTTTATTGAAAATAAAATGATATTAAGTTATATAGCGATATGGTCTATGGATTATGATTCAAACAAATAGTTGTACATCGATCACGATGGACATAGTCTAAGAAAAAAGATCTAAAACTTTTACAACTATCTATTTTCTAAAACATAACCAGTACGTTTCTTTCCCAGATGTTTATGTAATATTCCTATAAAACCTTACCATCTTTAGTTTCCAACATCAAAATCAAACTTATCAAGTTAAAACGATTTTTTATTCTAATTTATTCTATAATATTTTGTCATTCTTAATTAATTTTCTAAAATATACATTTTTGAGATAATTTAATTTGCAAATATTAAATTGAAAAATAAATCGTATTTTTCAATCATGTCATTTAATTTATATGATAAAAGATTAATATTTTTCTTGCACACGATAAAATCATTCATCTGATTTGCTATTTTACTATGTTTGAGAGCAATATATTATATCATTGGAAAATATTGGATCAATTAACTTTCTAAATTATTTCAATAAATATGTTCAAGTAATATATCATAATTATTTTATATAAAATATTTTGAATTATTTGAGCAATTCTCAACTATTGTTTTTTGTCTCTATTCAATGTTTAGCCATAGCGTACTGAACATAAACGTCCTTGACGGTCGCCGTGGCGACTGCGCAACACGACACAGCGCAGCATTGCGCGCCGTTGCGCTTGCGCGAGCTTGATGCACTCGCTCCCCACTTTGCCTATTTGTGTGACAACCGGCCCTCCACTATGCGGCCCACCTTTACCATCACGAGCAACCCCACTTCTCTATTGCTATATATCGGCGGTTGCGCATATTACGTCATCAACACCTTCACTCGCCCCTGTTGGCCGAGCACGATGCTCTGCCATTCGTTGCTCTTTCATTGTGTTGGCACGTTGCTTATATGTCCTCTCGCAACATATTGTTGCTGTTTCAAGTGAAAATCTTTTTCTGAAATTTTATTTTATATTTCGATTAAAATTTTTATCTTGCTATTTTTGTTATTACGTTTTTTTCTCATTTAATCTAGAAAATTAAAGTTAATAATCAAATTCATGTACATTGATTTTGAAATGGATTAATGAAGAATTATTATTTATAATTGTATTGTAAGTATTGTAAGTAGGCATAAGATAAAACATGAATATGTTAATCAATTAATTATTAATTACTTATTCTATTATTTTTGTTATTCCATTCTCAGTAGAATCATATATATATATAGTTACGAACAAATATAAATAACTATAAACAAATATAAATAATTGCATGCATCAAACATAAATATCCATAATTCATCAAGTTATAAATCTTTATGACTTCTTTTTTCTCTTTATTATTGAAAGGACACATGAATATAACTTCGATACGAATAACTTGTTCACTGCTAGAATTACAATTAATTTCATTAAAAATTTACATGAACATTCCAATGAATGATATATAAACGTATTTGCATTCGTTAAGCTTTGAAAAGCATTAGGAAGATATGCACGATATCTTGATATTATTCGATCTACCGATTAAAAATTCAAGTAAAACCTGAGAAGTAACTAAGTTCTTGAAATTGAATCACGTATATTATTTAATTAAAATTTTTATCCTAAACAGAAATTTGGGTACAATTTAAGAAACGAATAACAATTATCAATTTAAAAATGAAAAAGTATTCGTTATTTTAATAGATTTATAATTGCAATAAATTATTAAGAAAATAATATTTAATACATAAAATGCATAAAATAAAATTATTTAATTAATTTTTTGCAAAATTTTTTGAAAAATGCTTCTATAGATTATTTATAATATTTATTTTATAACATGTCTGTTTTTTATTAACTTACGACAGAAATGATTGAATTTAAGTAATTAATTTATTAATTTCCTTTAGATGATAAATTTGGTAAAAAAAAAAAAAATTTAATGATAAAAAAACACAAAATAATTACAATTTAAATCAGATGATTATTTTCAAAAATTATATATTAAGTTTTCTATCTCGATAACAAAATATTTAAATTATTTTATAATTTAAATATTTAATTATTTAAAATATTTAAATATTTCTAAACGAATTTTATCTATTATCATATTTACAATTTTTAATTAATGATTCAAAATCTAATTTCAATGTTTAAAAAATTTGACTTTTTAATTTTTTAGCTAAGATTAGTAAATATAAATACAAAAATATTTTTCAATATTTTTCATCTGATATAACGTTAAAATTGACAAAATTAAATAGTTCAATTGTATAATTACAAAAGAAATTATAAGACAAAAGAATAAAGATTATAATAAATATAGTTTGAATTAATCATGAAATTAATAATAATAACAAATTAATGAAAATATTAGAAAAAAATTATTTTTTCTTTTTTTTTTTATTTTTATTTTTCTCTTATTTGGTTGCAAAAGTCGAGGTATTCAAAACACGCGAATTCTTATGCGAACATCGATGAATGACATGTAGCGCATCCGAGAATAGATAAACCGCAACTTCCATTTAAAAGCACTGTAGACTAATACTATGACGTGAAAGTAACGATCTAAAGCAAAGTCAATAACCTGTGATAACTGTTTGACCTAAAAGTGCCTTTGGAACTTTGTCAATTCACTTTTTTTTTCCTTTATATTATCATCAAAAACTCAAATATACAGAAATTAGCGAGTATCTTCTATATTAATTTTATGAATCTCAATTGATTACTGATTCTTTGTCTTTACGCAATAATAGCTTATTAATATCATTATAATAATATTTATTAATAAGTATTATTACAATTAATAAATTAATGTATAAGTAAGCCAAAGAAATGTCTTTATCATGAAAATTTTTATTCAAATTTTTGTTCAATTTTTTTATGTATAACAATATTCATTAATAATAAAAATAAACAGTAATTACTTGATTTGATCTTCTCTTCTATCATAAAAGATATATTTATAGAATTATAATTTTTTTGAGTACACACTACAAAACCCGATGTCTATAAAAATTGTATAAATTTGTCTAAAACTATTACTAACTGAAACTATAAACCTCACTATTCGATTCCGATTGCGAGGCACGTCGATTTCACCTAATTCCCGTGCCAACTAATTAAACGCAATGGTGAATACTCTCACGTTATTATTATTTTTTTTCATTTTCCCTTCTCTCTATATTTCATACCACTGTGATAGTAAAATTGCAAAGAACACGCGTAGGTTTAAATTCTGATAAACGGTTTCTGATATCGTATATCATGCATAGATATTACGAAAATATATTATGCATGCATTGCGCGAAAAAAGGGAAATATATGTACATATAGCATTACGAGGGAATTAGAACGTTCGCTGATCCTGTTGCCGCCAATCTAATTCGTGCGTATGCAATATTATTGCAAAAGTATAATATGTTATATTGTATATGTAACAGTATATAGAAGAGAATGTCGAATGTTGTCTCTTCTTCCATGTTGTATCTTAATTGTATTAATTATCGTCTTCCTTTTCCGGTATCGCCTTGTTGGATTTCTTTCTATATGAACGATATTAACAATAACGGAAGCGATAGAAACAGCAGTTGGTAGAAAATTCCTAACCAGGTAGGAATCGAGGGGAAAAGTAGGGCAACAACTCTTCAAAAGTTTCATCGTCGATGTGGAAATATTCAACTGTAGTAGGACGATCCCGTGCTCTAGTGTGTGTTGGTATATAGGCGTCTATAAAGCACGGTAAGCTGATTCTAGAAGTCGTTGGAAATGTTCAATGCATGTATGCGTGCGTGAACATATAAACGAGCACCGGAAACTGATCGGTAGATAGAAAATATCGCGAGGATTTTTTGCGAACAAAAAATAATATCGAGCAGATGTATGTATTGACATTCTATTTTATCGCTGAAAATCATTGGCGTTATTATACAATTATGGCGACAATCACAACTAGATAAGAATTGTGCAATTTATAATATATAAGTATGTCCGTTCATGTTTGAAGCGTGCGACGCTCTTTACAACATAGTATATTTATAAGATCGAAATCTCTTGTGTAATGTATAAAACGTATCATTTTGTTTATTCTTTGGATATAATAAATAAATAATATAAATTATTTAGAATTTTTATATTTTTATCTATTTTTTTTAAACAAATACTTGACAACTATAATATATTAATAATAAATCTTTTATTTTGATTAATTTTTTGAATTTAATGAAAAATATCATAAAAATGTGATCCAAATAATGAAAAATTCTAATAGAATATTAATAAATATTAATTTCAATTCAATATATTATGTTGAAATAAATATATTAAAATAATTTATGCACAGAAATCAAAAATTGAAAGAAAATTGAAGTCTAAATAATGAATTATATTTACAATATGTGATATTTGAAAAAATAAATCTGATACGAAGAAAAGATATATATATATCATCAAATATATTTTTTATATATATATATAAAAATTTATGTATTTTCATGAGTTTAAAAATATAGCGACGTCTTATGTAAACTGTCATTTCGCCGGCCGGCATTCTTTAGGCTTTTTATTATGCACGTAACGCGTGTGCATACGTCAAAATCTAAGTTGAATCGTTACTCAAGAGTATGTGGAAGCGCTGTTTCGAAGGGAAGAGCAGTATGGACGTTTACGAACAATACAAGATAGAGCGCGGTTAGATGTGGAGGGGATAGGTATCTATAGTTAGAGAGTAGATGAGAAGAGTGGGGGAAAGTAGAGTGCGTGCGCGCTCGAGTTGAACGCGGTTGTCAGTGTCAATTGGTTCGCCGCGGCGACTTAAGGTGTCGTCGACGTGTAACCCGACGTTGTACTCGAAAGTTTTTCCTCGCATTCCGTCATAGTTGGAAACAATACGTTTGTCATTCGTATCATCCCACGTTTATTCTTGTGTGTTTACCATTTTTGCTGCAAAAGCAAACGACAAAGCGTTATTACAACGGTGGTTCGGAAGATCGGAATCGATCAGAAACAGGAACTTCGATTTTAACTCGTTCTCAATTTTTTGTTCGTCTGTCTGCCCGTCAACGACGACGGGCAGCCACATTTCATCGATCGAGCAAACAAGTTCTTTTTTTTTTGGTGATCCCGCTGAAATATCGTAAAAGCAGCGCGTCTATTGGTGACGATCCACACAGTGCGTACGATCGGTCGAACGTGAGATCACGAATCACGAGAAACTTCATAAGCTCACTTTTTGTCATTTCTGTTCTGTACATTGGTACGTTATTGTCGATTAAAAACGTCACGTGTGGTGCCGGACAACGAGAATATATGCGAGAGTACTCAAAAACGCATCGTATCCCTGCACGCTAAGTGGACGGAAGAACGCTCAGATCGGATACATGTTAGCGTGCTTTGATATCAGTGAACATCAGTGAGACGTGCTGTGTCACTGCGCCCCGACGACACACGAAGAGGCTCTTACAAGATGTAAGTACTGTCCTAATATAGAATATATAATATAGCTTGTTCGTAGCTCCATATGGTAACATATGAAAACAATTTATTCCATTCGAACGTATCGATCATGAAGTCTGGTGATCCAATTCAAATACAGGTTACCGTCATCAACCTAACCTGATTCGAGAGCGGAAAATAACGAGAATTTGTAAATAGTATCTGATACTTAAGTGTCGCGCGATCGACGATTCTAGAAAATTGCGCTGTTGGCGGTATTTCGATGGCGTATAGTCGTCGTGTTGATGTCGAGTTCATGGAATTTTGAACGAATCCCGCTCTTTGCCTGCTTTTTTTTTTTTTTGCCTCGACGGTTGACGTATCACATGTCTACTTTACCGACTGTGTTTTGAAAACAGTCGTACATGTCCATGAACGCGGATATACGAACAGCCGCGCTCTTTCCAGCATACATTGCACGCGCAGGCGCGTGACCTTTCCTAAGTCCTTTTCTTCCTTTCGCTACGACCGTAGATAGATTTTTTTTCTTATCGCTCGTCATTCCATAGAGCGAAACAAGGAGTGTCGAACACTGACTTCTACTGGGGTCAAACGATACACTCGACTTTTCATCGCTTCATGTCAATATTTATGTCAGAATTATACTTGTTTTCATTATACATATTATGAAACTTGTTCTCGTCACTGATTGTATATAAGTAATTCCTATTACATTAATTACTTTTATGACGAATCTCTTAACAGAATCTCTTACCGTAAATTTTAAAAATGATAATTTTCATTAACATAAAAATAAAAAATGAATACTATTATAAATCGATAGAATTCAACTTCATTTAAACTTTGTTTAAGTTAAATTTCACTTAATTTTTATGTTATAATAGATTATTGATTATTAATTAATAAATTATTTTTTTCTTCAATCGAAATTATTATTCATGATCATATGTATTTGTATTTGTATAATTTGTATTCAAGCAATTTTCAAATTAATCAAGGTCAAGGACTGCTCGATCTTCTTGTAAGTGAAAAGTACCAGTGTGTGAGTATAATTCGCGATGACTAGTCCAAACGCAATTACACATGGAATAGTGTAAGAGGCGTGTCGAATAAAATCTTTCGTGATAATAGGATCGATTATCTTGCATATTAAATCTTACCGCATCCTGTTTATCATATGTTTCACTATATTGTAAGCATGTATGCATATACATAATTTTTAATTTTAGATACAAAACATCCTATATAAATGAATTAAATCTTAAATTTAAAATTATAAAGACTAAACAAAATGATGTATTCAGATACATAGTTTACGTAATGAGAAGATGTTTTGAAAAATTTGAAGGTGACTTTTTTTTTTTACTAGAGAAAATTATTTGTATAAAAATAACTATATAATTCTTATAATTTTTTACAATTTTAAAATATAATAAACTTTACAAAATTAGAATTAAATTCTTTTTCGAGCTGATTTTTTTTGGATATTATAATATTTTTATAGATTATAAAAAATACGAATTGTCGCGTAAGAATTTATAATTGAACAAAAAACAAAAGTGAATTTTTTGAATTATTTTCGAAACTTTTTACTTTTGAAATATTATTTTTGTATCACAATTGCATAATAAAATTTTCTTTCTGTTTTTTATTATTTTAAAAATATAATTTTGCATATTTTTACTTTTTTCGTTATATGCAATCTTTTATAATTATAATTAATATATGTTATCTTAAATAATTACTAATTAGTTACACAATTTATCATTATTCGACAATTGAATAACAGATAAAAATATTTAATTGATTGCTTTTAAGTATGATATAGTAATAATAAAAAGCAATATTGAAATATTTAAAAACGAACAAAAAGGAATTGAATGATTGAAGTAATTAAAAATATAAAATTCAATTACAAATCGAGATTCAAAATTTTTACTTTCTAGTTTTCTAATTTTGCATAAGTCACTATTTCAATTTTGATGATCTTGGCTTTAAATATCTATTAATTTAATTTATGTAATTGTGATTATATTATCTATGAGACTAATATCGATTAATTAATTACCATCGTTTCTAATCGTAATTTCAATTTTAACAATAAAATCGTCAACGTCATTAATGATTAAACAAATTAAATATATATAATTGATTTATTTAAATAAAAAATTGTGAATTATATCGTATAGTTTATATTAAAACGAATTTATTTAAAATTTGTTTAAAAGAACAAAATATTTAGATAAAATAATTAAATAAGAGAAAAAAATTCAATTAATTATCTTAAAAATAATCTTAATTATTAATATATTTCAGTTTTTTGAGGAAAGATTTATATAAAGTA